ACAGACACCATATATTCAAAAGAAATTAACATGCTGCTGGATATATGCATGTGTTTTTCATATTTACAGCTGTTGCATGTGATGTTATGTAATCGGGTAAAAAATGAAAGAATTAAGTTTATTGACACCAAAACAAATGCATACTTCGATATAAAGGCTGCATAAAAATGAAAATGGCTAAATTAAAATAGTGAATTGAGGTTGTAGAGTTCTCATTTATTTTTATTAACCAGCTATTTTATGATAATTAGCTTTTCTTTCTTCCTTTCCATTTTCCTGCCAGAATGCTAATTTTGAGTGTATTCAAATGAGGTGAATTCATTTCGTTACTTTTGATTTACGCCATAAATGCTGGCTGATTCTGTATGAACAAGCTGTGCACTCTGTTAATTTGTCCGAGTCCATAAAAGGGTTTTTTTTACACATATTCCAAACCTCTGTTGTAATTTCCAAAACATAACGAAAAGTCGCTAAAGTTTTCCAGAGTTCTCACACAGTATATATTACCAAAGTGGGTGAAACTCGTATAAGGTATAAGAAAGACCAAAAGGAGATTTATTAAATCAAGAAAAGTAATCGGTGGAAAAGGCATTTAATCTTAATAATGAAAAATCGAATTTTACACCAAATATTCAGACTTTTGTAACTGTTTTATATTTAATTAGCGAGAGTTAAAAATAAAAATTACCTTTATATTCATAACATAGGTTACATTCTGTTAATTTCCCATAAATAAACAAAGAATACATTGACAAAATCATTGTACTAAGCTATTTTGGTAAAATAAAATCTACTATTTTCATTGTACTTCAAATTTAGGTTGTTTTCATGAAATTCTTTTATTAAACTTTAACTTATACTTGATAATCAATCTTCAAGTTCGAAAATAAGTTAACTGTAATTGCATTTGTTTTATGATCAAATATTTTAATTTGGCATTTGAGCATTTCTTTTTCTGTTTGACATCTCTGCTCTGTTAAGGTTATAACCAGTTAAATTGTTACTGTGTCTCTGAAAAATCAACAGCATTCTTAAACACCATTTTAAAAATATTTCTGTGTGTAGTATTTTATCAGTAGAATTTTTCCTAAATAAATACAGAAGTTGTTATGAAAACATTTGAGAGTACATGTCTTGAAAGAGAAACAGTATTCGTAGTGTTTAGTCAATTATGATATATTAACAGCTATCATAACTTTGCATGTATGTTGTATGCATTATACATATATATATGCATAAAGACCCAATTTTGGCAATAAGTAGAGCTGTTACAAAATAATCATGAAGTCTAAAGGAACGTACTCGTCACACATACTGGGGGGGAAATCAAATTTATGTACGTATTTGCCACTCTTAAAGAATTTTTGGGGGAATTACAAATGTACCAATTTCTTATTAATATATAATCATTTGTTAATATTAAAGAAAAATTTTTTTCTTAACTTAACTAAGCCAGCTAAGTCATAGACCGAAATATGTGTTTCTGCAGATATTCAGAACTTTCGGAACTACGAATACATTCACAGTTACAAAATATGTAAAATATATTTCTTTTAAATGCTTGGAATATTCGGAAAAATATCTAAATTCAAAGAAATGGTAAAATACGTTTCACTTGCAGATTCTTTGTTATTTATTTGATTATATCACCATTAATAACAATGTTCACCCCCCCCCAGAATAAAAAATATATTGTTTATGTACTGAAGTCTTGGTTTGTTTCCCTTGACAAGTCAATCTATCATCAATGACAATAGCTACCTTTTAAATACTTTTTGATTTTGGCACTTAAAATGTTTGCATTTCAAAATAATATTTCTATGCAGCTTTTAAATAATTTTTAATGCAACAGAAATCTAAATAACTTCAAATGCTGACTAAAATTCATTCCAATAATTCATCGCTTTAAATTTCTGTTCCTTGCAGATGATACAGGAAAAACCTTTTCTAATAATATATTTCTAATTCTACCAGGAATTATTGATAAATAACCCGATGAAAAAATTGATACAGGCATAGATGGAGGAGATGTAAATAATTATTACGAAATAATGTGAAGCAGTGTTTGCATTCAAAATGTAAGATGTTATACTTATGAAATTCTGCACTTCACTTTGGAACTGTACGAAGTTTCGCTCAGAAAAAGACTGAAATTCAGGATATATTAGTTACACTTTTAAGGAATAAAACAATTCAGAATTTACCATACGTTACATTCGTACATACGTAAAGAAACACGGACATACGTAAAAAATATAGCAAGTGTTTGCAAATAACATTGAAGAAATTTTACAATTCCTTAATGCTGTTTATTTAATTCTTTTAAATAAGAAATAAAAGCGCGAATATACGTTAACAAACTAAGCGGGAAAATCCAGTTTACATTACTGAGAATTACAACATGTAAACAAATTACATCTAAATAACGAATTATTAAGCACAATATATGGTAACAATTATTAAATGCACTGTTATACAAATTAAAATGAAACATATATTAGAAAAATAAGCAAGTGCAATCGGTATGAACTTTAACTAATAAACAAAGTTCCACAACATTGCAGTTGTACACATCACTCGACCACACTCGACAGCCATGGAGATCACGAGAATCTCACGCAGAGTCTTGCGTAGGGTTGCTTTTAGTCGCCAATATTTCTTCCCGCGCCAAAGGAACACCATCAAGCATGCGCAGTAAGCGAAATTCGCTTAACACTGTTCAACTCAATGTGCGGCCTGCCATTACGCTACCGGGACGGCGTTTCCATACATTTCGGAGCCAATCAAGCATTAATGATTCCGTCATCCACCCCTTCTCTTGGTTTCGAATCAGGACATCATCTGGGAACAGCTTTTCATTCTTAGGGGTTTTAGGGCATGTTTTCCGTTTGAAGATTAAGAAAGGGGGAAGTTTGCACCCGTCTGCTGTTATTGCCAGCATCACTGTTACGCGTTGTTTTTCACATCCCGAAGTTTTGATGATAACTTCCTTAGTCCCCTTCTCCGTAATGGTGTAGTTACGAGGCATATCAAACCAAATTGCCGTCTCGTCAGCGTTGCCAATTTGCCCCATTGAAAAATTCTTTTCCTTCCGAAGTGTGATGACATACCGCTGAAATGTTAGTAGTTTTCCCTCAAAATCTGCAGGAAGCTTTTGGCATATTGTTGTACGGCGTCTTAGAGATAAACCCATCCGCTTCATAAACCGATCCACCCATCCACGGCTAGCCTTAAACTCTTGTTTCTGTATTCCAAGAACTTCAGCCTCCTCTTTTGCTTTATTTCTTATGGTGTCACTAGTCACAGATTGTCCATTCTTCCTCCTTTCACGTACAAATTCCCAAAACCTTTTCTTCAATTTTAGGGTGTCTTTCTTTGTGAGGGCTAGTGAATTTCTTCCTACTAGCTTTAGTTGCAAACAGTGCCAATTTCTGTTGCCGCCACAAGCGAACATTGCTCTCAGCTACGTTGAACTCTCTCCCTGCCTTTCTATTGCCATTTTTTTCAGCATAAAGAATTACTTTACGTTTGAAAGTGGGAAAGTAGCGAATATCATATGACATTCTTCTATTTCGTGACTACGTACTCTGCAGTTTGTATCCTCTATGCAATAATGTGCCAACGATAAATGTAACGGTAAATGTAGTCGAGAAATTTTGTTGACGTCATCGGCGAACTTTGCACTCGAATCTAATGCGCACCCCAATTTTGAATACTACATTTGTCCAAAAACGATGCGCATTAGATTCGCGTAAATACGGTAAGTCTTATATGCCGTCAAATACGGTAAATGGAGAAAGATTTGGGTCCTACCGCCCCACCCACCATGGAGCCCAACAAGGGGACAGATTCCCATGCCAGGGCTAACCGGACCTATACGTAGTCCCACAGTCTGCTTTCCCAAAAGCGGGTACTCCCAAGAGCTTATCCCCAAGCCATCGAGACAAGGACTAGTGACCAGCCGATTGACACCCGTGAGGAAGACAAGGTGCCTCTCATTTAACTGAAGCAGAAGCCAAAGCAGTGTGTTGGAGACGGTATCTCACCCCCCCAACTACCAGGACCCTCCTTTCCAGTGACATGGGTCTCCACACCTGCAGTTTTCTCGCCACTCAAAGAACTAGGGGCAAGGCTGTTCCAGTTTCTTATGACGAGCCCGAACCTCGGAAGAGGAAACCACACGGGAGAAGAAAAACGGGAAAAGTTGCAGTTAAGAGGAGAGGAGGCAGAAAGGAGGAGCGGTCATTGGGGTTCCAGAATTGTGACACCCGATCACCGAGATGGTAATCCCCTGAAGCATTTTCACCCAATATGCTTTAGCTGGATATATTGGAACAGCCTTCACACCTAGGGTGGTCCTAACAGGAGCTATGCTCCCAACGTACTTCATCCGTTCCGTCCAGCGACACCTCCGCCGCCACATTGAGGCAGGATAGCAAGACAGTTTTAAAATTAAGTTAATATTAAATCTAAAGAGTACTATTTCGCACAGTCTTGCAGAACACCCTCCTCTTGACTTTGGAGACACATTGGAGAGCACAGAATCAACCTTCACTTGAAATTTCGATCGTGTAGGAAATATTTGATGAAAGTTGGCGGATGAATCATTATTATACGGATACTGAAATATGCAATGCCTTTATTTTGCGTCATTAGATTCCTCTTTACATTTTTACAGAGCTAAAATTCTAACTGCAACTGAGACCAAGTTGGTATGAAGCTATATTAGCATATATATTCACTTTTAAATACAGATATTACCTACTATTAATATGAAAACCATCTTAAAAAAAAAATTTAGAAAATATATTTATAAATTTTTGCAGAAATTCAATCTAGCAATTTTTTATTTACACAAAAGCTTTACAATTAGATTTTACTGTTCTCTGTAAATATGAAATAGGTTTTAGTTAGACTATTCACGAAATTTGAAAAGTACCTTTTATTTATTTCATAAATACAATTAGAGATCAACTCTAACAAAAAATACCTTAAAAATATTTTAACACAATGAAAATTACATACTTTTTATTATTATTATACACAATTTACACACGATAAAATAGCATTTACAAGTCATTAAATTTACAGTAAAATTTGTCAGATAAAAATCCACACTAAATGAAAAGAAATATGTTCACAGTCCTTTTCATGATCAGTACAAAAATGAATGCAAAGAAATTTAATTTAAAAGTGTTACATGATAGAAATGGTTTTATTTTTTTCCAGCCAATTCCTTCACGATAGGTGATTTCAACTGAGGAATGGTACTGATTTTATGTAACTTGCTGCTTGCATACTTCAAATGGACAGCCTAGAAAATATTTTTATCACAAACCTAAATTTTTAGATCAGATATATTTATAAATTTAAAACATTTCAATGCACAAAGAATTTAATAGATTTGATATTTCTTTGACTTATAATAATTTTACAATTGCGAAATATTTTTACACAATGTATCTGAAAATGGACAAAGACAATACAGACAAAGAAAAAATGGAAACGTTTGTATTCTTTTTATAAAGATTCATTTTCCTTGCTTTGCTGAGAAATCGTCATTTCGTCTGTTACTTATTTAAAATTTTCATATTGTTCTATGTCTTAAAATTAGAAATTAAAGTTAATGACTTAAAACTACAATACAGTCAAAAGTCGTTAATTCGGACACCCATAATTCGGAATGATCTATAATCCGGACCTCAAAACTAAAAACTTTCTGCGCATGCGCCGCATTGACTACATGCGCATAGGCGTTTACGCGTGCGCATAAGACCTTTTACGACTGCGCATACGAGTGTGCGCAAGTGCAGAATACGTTTTCGCGTGCGCGTTTTATGTATAGTGGACGTATAAGCTAAAATTATCTAATTATCTATTTCAGTTAATGTTGATGATTGTGTGGTTTCTTAATTTTCGAATTGGATCCGGCTTATTATTTTTTGCAGACTGTAAGACCAATTTTATAAAAGTAAGCTTAAACTTTCGATTATATCAAATAGAATTTCCAATATATATTCGTTAATATGTAAAGGATCTAAAGCGAAAGTATGGTTTGAAATCCGAAATCTGTTTATCAATTTCACGCTGCTCGGCGGGGGGGGGGGGGGGGGGGGGGGGGCGTAATGAATTGGAAGTTGATCTGTCAACACTATCCTTATCTTCAGCGCAGATGTTTTTATTTTATTTGGCTTATAATTCCTTACCAAATGTAGTATTTCATCTCGATATGCTCCGTCTTTGATATGATTTAAAACAAGTTCCTCGTCATTATAATTCGCTTTCGGTAGCGAAGAAAGTGAGATTATTGAAAACGAAAAAATTTCGATTGACAAATTAATCGGTGTTCTAGACACAGCAATTATAGGACTTGAACAGCGGAACTTTGTAACTGAACAAGAAATTATGTCTGTTTAATAGAATTAAAGAGAAAGTATTATCACATGAAACGAAGCAAAACTTAAACAACTTACATTGAAAGAAATGTTTAAAAAAGTAAACAAATAAATATTAAGCTTTTTCTTTATGCAAATTTTCATACCCTTTAGATCATAATTGTTCTTTATTTCATAAATTACGGTTTCATATTTTTAATTTTAGAATTTCTGCATGCCATCTTACGAGATTTAAACTGATGATCTATAATCCGGAAAAATTGATAATCCGGAATCGCCGAAGTCCCGACGAGCCCGGATTAACGACTTTTGACTGTAGTATATTACAGTATAGGTGAAAAAATTGACAGTTTCACTCACGCGTGTGTCAGATTTGCACAATACTTATAGGGGTCCCACAAAATATTTGTAAATATTTTACAGTAATAAAAAGAGGCAACGACTGAAAAAAATTTCAAGAAACCCTGGTCTAAAGAAATGAAGGGATTGACTTGCACATATTTACATTATACATAGGGATGCTCATACAGCTAACCTACTCTTTTGAGCTTGAATCTAGAACAGTATTCAGCAGTCTCATCCACTACGCCATGGATGAGACTTAAATAATGAAGTTATCTAGTTAAATGTAGTTCACTTAAGTAATTTGTAAGGTTTTACTGTGATATTGCCTTTTATTGGCTGCCACAAGGATGCAAATTAATAATGTATTTAAAACACAGAGTCCTTGAGTTCAAGAGAGTGTAATGTGTCATTATTACTTCTCAAGCTAGTGAATTACTTGAATTGGCTTTAAGCTCTCTTACCATAGTTACTCACATAAATTAAGGATCTAAGTCAGAACTTATACATGTGTTTTGCATTATAAATTTAAAATATTGGTATTTACTGTTTATTATTCCCGCAATCGGCACAGTTTGCTGTTACAAAGGTGATGTTGCTGCTAAGCTCACAAACTAATAAAAAGGTATCTTTTAAACCTTTTGTGTTACTTTACAAAGAGGTCACCCGAGTAGCTTCATAGATCAAAAGATTAACATTAGTTGAAATCTATATAAAATTGATGGTTAAAAAACTTAATCAGAAGCTATATGAAAGTTTTATTTTAAAAATATGAGTATACATCAGGCAGACATTTAAAATTCAAACATACAAAATTAAATATTATAAAGATCCTTTCTAATTGTAAAATTTAAAGCATTTGATACTACTTATTAAAAATATTTAAATGAAAATATTTCTAAGTTAAAAATCAACAGAGATCTTTAATGAGCAAATTAGAAAGGATAAAAATGAAAAACAAATACTTATTACAAAAGCACATGACCGAAATTCAAGGAAATCCATATTCACGTAAACTCATTTGTTTAAATACTCAGTATATTTTCTTCAGCAAAATTAATATTATACTAAGGTTTTGACAGAATGATTTTTAACAGCATCTTTTAAACTGATATGCCAATTTTATAGATATTTCATATCTCCTAATTTTATAACCTAAATACTTGCATATTTATGCTTTCTAACTCATCTCTACATATAATAAAACAAAGAGTCTCTGTGTGTGTGTGTGTGTGTGTCTTTTGTTCGCGCTGCGCGTAAGCTAATAGACCCACGGCTACGAAATTTGGTACATAGGTGCATCTAGACAAGAGCCAGTCCACCTCAAAGCGATTTTTTTCGAAATTCGAATTAGAATATTTTAAATTTCATGTTTTTTGACAAAATCGTGTCATTTTGAGACATAACGGGCTATAGGAAAGCGAGATTTTTACTCTACACACTCCATTTTCACATCGTCATGAAACGTAGGCACTTAGCTATTTTACGAACTCAAAATAAATTTCGTGTTTCAAAATTAATTCGTCGATTAAGTACGAATTTATTTAGCAAAGGGAGCTTAACACCTTTTCAACGGGACTTTTCTAAAAAACTTTATTTTTAAAAATGTACAGTTTATTTTTCTTTGATTCTTAGACACTTTAAACTTTCATCCTTGAGACTGCTTTTACGAAAAGAATTTTGGAAAAATGATAATATTTTGTATTTCTAAAAAAATTTTTAAATGAAGCTTCTGAGTACACTTTTCACATCTCACATCTTTAAAAATGTGATTTTGGCAACAATTTTCCTTATTGTTGTTGATAGATTTTTGATGAAATCACATTATTTTAAATAGTTTCATTCTTTTAGAAATATGGGTTTGGCAACAATTTTTCATCGTATTTCTTATGTCACTGTTTTTAAGAGATTGGCATATTTCATTTTATTATTTTTTATTGTCATTTTTTTGGTAGACGGTTGCACGGATTTTGCAGATTTTTCGTTTGGCTAGTAATACGACTTATGGTAAACCCATTGCTGGATAAGTTATTTATAGTAACCGATACTTTGTTGTCATTTTATTTAAAAAATAATGTGTTTTATTATGCATAAATTCAGTGTTTTAAATATTAAAAATCAATTTAATTTTGCATTTTTATTTGAAATAAAAATTTTGTTGTTCATAATATTTTATATAATTTTATGTTGTGGATGATGTAATCAATGATGTCACTTTACTTAAAAAGTAATTGGTTTTATTAATATCTATAAATTTAATCTAATGTTTTAAACATTATGTATGGCTGTTATTATTTATGCATTAAAATTGACATTTGAGACCTTATTTTGGCCAACCTGGCTTTTCTAATCAAAGATTTATTTATAAATTGTTAATAGCGCCAGAGGAAATTTATTTTAAATTTTTGGAGAAACCCTTGCTAATTGCTTCTTCAATGAAGTGCGAGAGATGTGGATCACAGATGAAAAACGTTAGACCTTTTGTTTTGTGGTACTTATCAATATAAGACAGGTAAAATACTTTAAAAAATGTATGTACATAATTTTCTTTCACTTTATAATTGTATACTTCAACTTTTATTAAAAATTAATGCAATGTTTTCAAAAATTCCTGAGATATTTATTGCCACATATGTTTTAATGTTAAATAATTATTCTTTATACCATTTGCAAAGGGAAATTGGTTAATTTATTTATTAGGATAATTAATATTTGTATTAAGGAATATTGCTTATTTCATTGTAATTTTGTTATACGTAATAACTTTTTTTATGAAGTTTTTCTGCAGAGTAAAAGTCTATGCAGTTTTTAAATTTAATGTTTGGTGTTCCCTTCAGCCATTTTCCCGGCCATTTAAAAGCCAAACGAAGGCTGGCAGCAAAGCTGCTAGTTGAAATATAAAATAACGAAAACTAGAATTCACAGCATCTAAAATAATTTGTACAGCAGTGAAAAAACATACAATTAAGAAAATTAAAGTATTTTCTAAGTACATCAGAAGGTCAGAAACTATTCCCGTTTGACAAATAATTCTCAGAAAAAAAAAAAAAAAAAGTTGCTAAAATCTGAAGAAAATGAAAGCAAAGAAGCAGGAGGCTAGACTTTTGGTCAGCCATGTTTATAACACTTGTATCCCTGTTTTTGTGATGGTTGCATGAAAATGATTATGCACATGGCTTTCATGCATCAAAGCTGACAGAAGCTTCTCCATTTTGATTAAGCTCATGCTTATTAATCTATGCTTAGCACAGTTATTTAATACTTTATCTGGGTCTTTACCCAATGGATTCATCATCAGTCATAATGCGATTCAGAAATGAATTCTTGTTTAGAGGGGCAATTGTTCCATTTAGAGTCTTCAGTGTACTTGAAGCCAGTTTTCAGACATTTGGACATCTTGCTCATTATTCTAATATAAAAGAAGACCCAGAAACTTAAGCCTTATTAAACTTGAATAGTACATTACAGAAAACAGAAGTATGCCAAATATATATTTTAAGATTAGATGGGAAGTCTATGCAGTTCAATTCAATCGTTATCTGGTTAGAATAGCCCTGTACTGCCTGGTCCTTTTAAT